GGGCTCACGCGCCACCTCTTCCCCCAGCAGGTACCCCCCAGGCGTGGTGGGCGTGGCGCCCAGCGGCATCCCGGCCGCCGTGGAGGGCATCGTCCCCAGCGCGATGTCCCTGTCCCACGGCTTGCCCCCCGTCTCCCATCCTCCCCATGCCCCTTCTCCCGGCCAGACCGTCAAGCCCGAGGCGGATAGAGACCATGCCAGCGACCAGTTGTAGCCGGGGCGGAGCTCTGCGGCCGGGGTGCCGGCCGAGCCCTGGACGGGCGTGTGTGGCGCGCTGCCTGCGGTGGCCGGGTCTCCAGAGACGGGCCGGGCGCCAGGGCTGAGCTGGTGCCGCTGCCCGCGTCGACTGTAGTTGTCCCGTCCGGAGGGCCGGCCGCGCCCCGAGTCCTCCGCGTCCTCATTCAGCAGCAGAAGTTAGTAGTTCACTCTCCCCGAATGTCCTCGTCTGTGTACAGTCTCTAGAACATCACAGGTGTGTTTGCTCAGCTGTCGGCAGGAGAGCCGGGGCGGCTGCGGCGCTGCTCACGGCCGTTCCTCCTGCGTGTGGAGCGCCCCAGACAGGCAGTTGGCAAACTTCTCAGGACAATGAATCCTTCCCGTTTTTCTTTTTACGCCACACAGTGCATTGTTTTTTCTACCTGCTTGTCTTATTTTTAGAATAATTTAGAAAAACAGAACCAAGGCTGTCTTTCCTAACTTTGGCATGAACCCCTTGTTTCCAACGAAGACGGCATCACGAGGCAGCCGGGTGGAGCGCGCGGCCTCTGTCTGGCCGCGGGTGCGGCGCCCGGCCCGTGGTGCCGTCCTGCTGATGTGGTAGGCTAGCAATATTTTGGTTAAAATCATGTTTGTGACCGTAACCATTTGTATGAATTATTTTAAAGAAATAAAAGTCCCAGAAAGAGCCGGCACGCCCAGCCTGTTTTAGCGGCTTTGTCTCACGGGGACACTGGCGGGGTCAGTCCTCTTCTCGGCCAGCGGGGGTGGCCTCGGAGCTGGACGGGCAGCTCTGGGGTGGCCCATGCTGGGCTCTGCTTCCTTTTGCTTCGGAGCCGCTTGACCTTTGTGTCCTTACTGGAACCTGGGGGTCCTCACTGCTCTGTGTTCAGCGCCTTCCCCTCACCCTCGGGGTCCTGAGCCACGGTGGAGGTGCAAGGTCCACGAGCGGGGAGCACCTGAAGTAACTGGGAGCTGCTGGAGCGGCAGCTTAGGGGAGAACGGAGCAACTTAGTGTGAGTTTTAGACAAGAGTGTGAAGGCCGGAATAGAGATACGTTTATTTGTATCTTAACTAGGAAACTATGGAAGCTAAAGTTTTAAGTCATAGGTGGGTGTACAAAATAAATATAAATTTGGAATTAATCAAATAGAATACAAACACAGTATCAAGCAATTCAACTGTTGGTTCTTTAAATTAGTAAAATTGTTACCTTCAGATAAAGGAAGAGAATAAGACAGCTAGAATTAGGACCAGGACTCAAGAGGAGGTTGCTAAGCAGTTCCCAATGTCAATCAAATCACAGAGGATGTGATGAAAACTTTCTGATGCGAATTTAAGAGAGAACACTTGCTAAACCAACACAAAGTAAAAGATCTGAATTGCTCTATAACTTTCTGAGAAATTAAACTTAAAAAACTCTCAAAGAAAATTACAAATGGCTTCATCCCTTAGTTTTAAAAAATACTTAAAAAAGTAGAAAAAAACCGTTGATTTCCAATTGATGAGAGAACAAACAGGAGGCGCACTTTCCATCATTCTGAGATTAACGTCCCCGATCCTCAGAGGAGGAAAGACGGTCCAGCTTCATCTGAAGGAGCGAGCCAAGTGGGTGACCCCATGCCCTGAGCAAACGCGGGGTGACCCCATACCCTGAGCAAACGCGGGGTGACCCCATACCCTGAGCAAACGCGGGGTGACCCCCATACCCTGAGCAAACGTGGGGTGACCCCCATACCCTGAGCAAACGTGGGGTGAATCCTACGCCATGAGCCCTGGTGGTATATAGGCTACATATGGGGACCAGCCCCCAGGTCTCCCCCAGGTAACGGGTGGGCCCTGTGGAGACCAGGTGACCTCAGGACCCTCCATGGGTTTGAGGGTGACCGTGTGAGGTGGGTGCCTTCACCCTCAGGCCCAGGCCTCACTCCCCGGTCGTGGAGCCGCAGCTGCTGTGGGCCCGGTGGGGCCCCGGCCTGATGCTTTCAGGGCGGCTGTGCTGAGCCTGGGAGCTTGTTTACAAATGCTGCCCCTCTGGATCCACTGAGGACAGTGCTGAAGGGAGGTCCTGAACCCCGAGTCTCCGTGGACCCTCTGACCCTGGCCCAGCGATGTTCCCGCCAAGCTGTGCAGGGGTTGGGGTGGGCATCGCTTGCCGGGAGCCGTGGGCAGAACCACCCAGCATCCCCCCCCCCCACCAGACCCAGTGATCACCCCCCGACCCTGTGTCACCACAGAACTGAGACACGCGGGGCTGGCAGACAGGTCCAGGGACTCTGCAGCAGCTTCTTACAGTGATCAGGACGGGGCCGTCCTGTCCGTCAGCCCTGCCCTGGGCTGGCCTCTGCGGGCCTGGCCCAGCAGCGAGCAGGACCCCGGGTGTGTGCACGGAGCTCCGTGCGTGCGTGTCAGCTGGGTCCCAGTGACCGTGGGTAGCAAGGCCTGTTTCCCAGAGCCGGCCGCTGGCCTGCCCACCTGGCCCCTAGCAAGCCCCACAGCCCCTGGACACCCCGCCCGGTCTGCAGCTGGATGTGGCCGTCGGCCCTCCCCGAGACGGCGGGGGTTGCATGGCCCCCTGACCTTGGTTCTGCATCCAGGAGACCCTGTTGATTTCTCTTTGCTGTCAGAGCAGGGCTGAGGACTTCTGATCTCATCCCCTGTCAGAGCTGAAACCTTGTATTTTACTTCAAGCTTTTTTTGGTTTAACTTCTTTGCAAAAGTGTGAGTTTCAGGAGGCCCGCCCAGTGGCCAGAGCGTGAGGGTTAGTGAATCAGTGACGGTGCCGTTTCCTCAGACCGGAAGCTCACGCTGGCTTGGGACCTCCGCGCTGGCCGCCCAGTTCCCACCCCAACGACTTCCTCCTCTTGGGTGTTCACACTCCACGTGCTAAAGTAGCTCCCTGAGAATGGGCTCCGGGGACCTGATTTTGTCAAACCTTGTGTGTCTGACATACCCTCCCGGTCTTGTGAGCAGGTGGGGCTGGGGCTTAACACCGACATCCCCAGTGCGTTCCCCAGCAGGAAGGGAAGTTCAGGGCAACTCGGCCAGAACGCCAGCTGTTTACCGTCAGTAAATTCTTATCTCCAAATGCATATGGACTCACAGGGGTCTGCGAACTTGGGACTACACTACTTTGAGGCTCATCAAAAAGCAGACATAGTAACAGAGACAGACGGGGGCCAAATGGAAGGGAAGCCGGAGAGAGCTGGTGCACGTGTGCGTGCGTGTGCACTCGTGTGAGCTTGTTTGGGGAAACTTGAGCCGTGATGGGGACGCCAGTGCGTGGAGCAGGACGGCTGGTCTGTGCCCGGAGTGTGACCAGAGCAGCCTCTCCGATGACAGGACCGCACAGGCGCAGAGCTCAAGGGGGAACCTGGCTGGCTGCACATGCCCTCATGGCGGGTTCAGCCTCGGAGAGGCTGGGACAGCCGAGGGCCAGGCACACCCGACGGTGGTCCTGCAATCCTCAGTGCCAAGCGGACCCCGGCCTCCCCTCCATCAAGCTGCCCCCACGGTGGTCCCTTCAGGAGCACAGGGTGGCTGCCTCAGCCCTCTTCCCTCAACCTGGGGCCCACAGCCAGGATCTGTGGACTTCCTGGGCCCTGGGCAGGGCGCTGGGGGGACAGCGGTCTGGGGTGCCCTGAGCAGGACAGCGGGCAGGGGTAGGCTCTCTCCCTGCAGCCTCTGAGTCTCCACCTGGCCAGCCCCCTCCTGCCTGGGCCCAGAGAGGTCTGGGGCCTGCGTTTGCCTCAGCGCCAGCCGGGCCGCCCCCAGCTGCTCTGGGCCCAGGCCCAGCTGGATTCGCAGAAGTGATTTTCCAACAAAAAACAACATCAGGGGGAAGTGCGGAGAGCAGGGCCAGCTGCAGGCTCTTCCAGGCTCTCTGCCCCGGCCGCCAGTGCTCCCCCGTAAAGAGAACCATCTGGTCCCCTGGACCGGGCCGGCGCCCAGTGGAGGCCCTCAGGCCCCTTTGACCAGCCCAGCACCCCAGCACACGGTGTCCGGGCCCACCCGGCTCACCACACACGGCCCTGGAAGGGACACTCCATTCCCGTCCTGTGTCTCTGACCCTGTGGCCTCAGACCTGAGGCACGCTGGGTTCCTGGGGGGAGCTCGTGCTCCCCGAGACCCCCGCACGGCTGGCACCGCTCTTTCTTCTGGTGACGGCCACGTGGGGCTGCATTGTGGAGATGAGTCACTGCTTACTCCCCCGCCTCGTGCCTTCCGCCTTTCGCTGTTACAAACAGCAGCTCAGCCTGGAGCTTGTCCTTGGATCACTGTTCCGGGGGATTCCCAGGAGTGTCATAGCTCATGCAACACCCACTGCACATAGTCTGGGGAGAGAGGCCCACACTGGCCAGTTTAAACACGTGCAAGCTGTGCTTCTCACAGCCATTCGGACACGCTGGTTACTGAGCTGCCCAGTTCACAGTGATGTCACGGTGGGGCATGGACCCTCCGTGCGCTTGTCACCTGTGAAACTGCACACTGCCATGGCTCCGTGTCCTGCGGTGTGTCTTTGTTCATTTCCTGTTTGGCAGGTTATGGATGGTCTTTTTCTTATTGATTTCTAAGAGCTCTTCGTATATTAAGGAGTTAACCTTAGCAACAACATGAGTTGTAGATAGTTTCTTCTTTTGTTGTTGGTTTACAAACACGTTGGGCTTCCCTTGTGGCTCAGCTGGTAAAGTATCCACCTGCAATGTGAGAGACCTGGCTTTGATCCCTGATTTGGGAAGATCCCCTGGAGAAGGAAAAGGCTCCCCACTCCAGTATTCTGGCCTGAAGAACTCCGTGGACTGTATAGTCCATGGGGTCACGAAGAGTCGGCCACAACTGAGCAGCTTTCACTGCAAACATGTTTACTGCCTTTCCTCGGGAAGGTCGGCCCCAGGGAGGAGGAGTGTCCTGGCTGTCCCTGCACACGTTGTCTTCACCTGTGAGCTGACCCCACCCAGGCCATGGTCCCAGGCTCAGGGGAGACCCTCCTCCCCTTGTGCCAGGAGCTTGCCAGGGGTGGAGGCCAGGGGAGGGCCCCCCAGGAGACCGCACTAAGGAGGAGAGACTGCCTCCTCACTCTGATAGAGGCGAGGGGCTTCAGTCCAGGGCAGCTGATGTCTGATGGTCCTCCTCAGTCCAGAAACTAAGATCTCCCATGGGGGAAAAGAGCCCCCAACTCACAGCTGAGTCAGGGCTGGCGTGCGGCACCCAGAGCGCAGAGCCCTGCATCCGGAGGGGGAGAAGGGGCAGAGCCCCTCTTTCCTGTCCTTGAAGGCAAAACGCACTGTCCTAGGCAAATGTCCTGTCTCACAGGACACAGGTGGTCCCGCCTGCTGTCTGCATGTCTCCTGGCTGTCCCAGGGTGTTTCCCCCAAGTCCACACACACACACACCCCATCATCCTAGAGCGGCTCCCACCCCACAGCCCTGCTGGAGGAAGCAGCCCTTCCCAGCTCCTCCTCCGCGCCTGCCCCCGCCCGTGGCTGACCCGTGTGTTCCGTCTGGCGTGAGCTGGGCCAGTCCCTTGGGATGCTGCTGCAGTGGTCGGGGGTCAGACCTGGGGTCGGCCCTGCCCCCTCCCTGAGCCCAGGGATGAGGCCGGGGCTGGGCGGGCAGGGGCGGGCAGAGGGGTCCCCGTGAAGGGGGCCAGGCTGGGCCCTTGGGAACAAGAGACGGGAGAGAGGCCACCTCCCTCCCCCTGGGGGAACATGGAGGGTTTCCCGGAGCCAGGCCCGCCCGCGTCCACCCCCACCGCCTGCCAGTCTCAGCGCCCCCATCTGAGCCCCACCCGAAGCCTCAGCTGGCCGCCCAGTGCCCCGTCCCCGGGGGCCTTGTCACCGGGCGGGGGCAGGCTGGGGAGGCAGCCCCCGGTCAGGGCTGGGGGCCAGCCTGCCAACAAAAGCTGTGAGTGTTTTAACAAATGGAAGATCCTGGAAATTGCTGAGGAAAAACCTGTTCTTGGGCCCATGAGGCTTGGCTGGGGCGACCACAGGAGGAGCAGGGGAAGAGGGGCACAGGCTGGATGCGGGGGGTGTCTGATTGCCTGGCCCCACCCCGGGCCATGCTGTGTCTGCAATGGAATTCCCAGGCCCAGCGGTCATGCCCCCCGAAGCCCCATGGAGCTCCCCGGGACCCCAGCCAGTGCGGGGTGTTGGGCCTGTCCAGCTGCTCCCCACAGCCTGGGGCATCCTTCACCCCACTGCCTCCAGGCCCCTGATGGGGGTATTTGGGGTAACCTGGTCTGTGCTGCCACTCAGCTGTGCCCACCACTTGGGGCCACCCACCCTGGGCCAGTCACACGGACCCCATGGGCCCTCATGTCCCTACTCAGACCAGGGCAGCCTCTGTGCCCCCAGCCAACTGACCTTTGACAGCACTGCCCCTCCTTACCCCCTCACCTCCCCACCTGTCCCGTGTCCCATCACCCTGCACCCCCTCACTGTACACCCTCACCCCACACCGCTCCCCGCACCCCTCACCCTGCACCCCTCCACCCCGCACCCCTTCCACCCTGCACCCCCTCACCCCGCACCCCCTCACTCTGCACCGGTGGCCCAGGGCCAGGCACTGGTGGGCATGCCCCCTGAGATCCTGGGGGAGCTCCAACCTCACCTCCTGGGGCACCCCAGCTCTCTGTCCCATGACCGAGACCCCCCAGGCCAGGCCTATGCCCCCAGAGCTGGGTCCAGGGCTGAGCCGCCGTGACCCCTGCCTGGGGTCCGTCTCAGGAGGAGACGTGTCTTGCTCCGGGACCCCAGTCAGCCTCGGGCTCCCCTCCCCTGGGAGGCCAGTGGCCCCGCGTCGTGGCTCAGCCAGTGGACCCCCGGGCAGACTGTAGCTCAGGGGCCGATGTGCCTGCCGTGGTCCCCAGGCCCGCAGCCGTCGTCGTCAGCTGACTCATCAGTGCCCTGCCCTGGGGTGTGGTCCCCACGGGGTCTGTGAGGTCACTGCCGAGGTCACCCTTGGTGGGGAGGACAAACGGACAGACGGGGTCGCAGAGCAGGCCGGGGTGGGGGCGGCCACGCAATGCCCAGCCAGTCACACGCCAGCAGGTGACTTTGGCCATGATCAGCCCAGGGAGCGGGGCCTGGCCATGGAGGACATGCCCAGGTCTGCAGCTGGGTTGCCCGTGGGGGAAGTGTGCGGGCGGTGCCACCCCGGCCCGTGCCGGGCCCTTCACTTCCTGAGGCTGCCCTGGATGGCCCTCAGGCATCTGGAAGCTGGCCGAGGCTGGGAGTGGCCCACCGGTTTGCGTGGTGGGCAGAGGACACCTCCCAGGGGGGCCCTGTGTCCACTCAGAACCAGGACCGTGTGCTGGGACACAGCCGTTCCCAGGCTGGCTCTCTGCTGTGCCCCAGCCCCTTCCTGGCCAGGGCACGGGGTTTGGGGGCAGAGAGGACAGGGTGGGCTGTCATGTCCACCTCGTGCCCCCAGGAGAGCTCAGGGTGCGGCCAAGGGCCAGCGGGCTCCCCAGACCCCCCTCCGGGGCCTGGGGACCAACTTCTGCTGGCCGCCGGGTCTGAGCCCCCAGCCTGTGAGAGGCTTGAGTGGTGGGAGCGGCCCCGCGGGGCCCACGGTGGGGGGCACCACGTGGGGACCTGTGCGCTGGGTCCCTGGGTGCTTCTGGCAGGGGCGTTAAGTGAGAGGGGCATCCAGCCCCTTGGTCCACCCAACCCTTTCTGAGGCCTGGCCAGGCAGGGTGGACCCAGCAGGTGCAGATGGGGCCCCAGGGTGGTGGGTACTGGGCTGTGACCTGGCTTCCCCGAGGGAGACGCAGGCTCCTGTTTGTGACCCCAAATCCTGACACCTGCCGCGCGTCCCCAGAGCAGCTCCCCTAAGGACGAGGGGGGAGGAGGACGGGCCGGGCCTGCCGCCCCCTCCTGTGGTGATGCCAGCCTGGACCCAGGCCTCCCCTGGCCCAGCCTTCAGAGCCCACTGTGCGCTATCCACATGCCCCCCAGACCACGTGGACGTGCGCATACACACACACACACACAGGTCCCGCTGCAACCGCCTGCAGCCGAGGAACCAGCAGAAACGAAGCCACAGGTGAGTTCACGAGGAAGTCTGTACACAGAATTAACGTTCAGACAGCAAAGCAACTCCCAGGTAGAAACGCTGACAAGAACATGACATTTATGACAGCGATACACGTTGTAAATCGTCAAAGCTCAAACTTCTCTCCAGATCTCCTTAGAAAAAGCCCCAGGAGGCGGCCGGCAGCCCGCTGTCCTGGGCAGGAGTCCCCACCACCCAGAGACACCTGGGTTGCTCTAAATGCTACTAGGGCCCCGTAAAGCAGAACAAGGTGGAAACAGCTGAGGGGCCTGCAGGGCCCGGGCAGGGAGGACTCTGTCTTCACCAGATGTCAGCGCCGGTTCACCGCCCAGGAGGTGGGCGGAGCTGACACCCAAGGGGCTCACGTGCCTCGGTGGAGTGGGGGGCACCGTCTGCCCTCAGCGGGGGGCAGGCCACCCTCTGAGGTTCCAACCCAGCTGACGCCCCTCAATCATGCCCCGTGCCCTCTGCAAGCAGGGTTCAAGAGGTCACGTGACTATCTCTGGCCAAGAACCAAGGCGATATTTGTGAGGCTGTTATAAACCGACACACCAACCATCTCCTGCAAGTCAACAATCAATAAATGAACAGCTGAGTGTACACAGCCCACACGGGCTCCTGATGATTTACATGAACAGCCAGCAAGCAAATGAACGATCACACAGTGTCTGTGGTCATCAGGGAAAGCGGATCAGTGGGTCAGGGCTTCATACCCACCAGGACAGCAGCCGCTGGCGGCCCAGGGGGGTGCTCCGAAATGTCAGAGAGCCGCCACCCAGCCCCACAGGCCTGTCCACACACGGGTGTCCTCACAGGTGTTCCAGCAGCCAGGAGGCAGGAAGAGCCCGCTGTGGTTGGCAGATGAATCGATAAACAGAACATGGTCCGTCCACACGAGGAGCACGACTCAGCACTGGAGAGGAGGCAGGGCCTGACACCTGCAGGAACAGGGGCGAAGGGGCCTTGAAAACACGACGTGGTTGAAGGTGAGTCCCGAAGGCCATGCCTGCAGGCTGCACGCGTGTGAACGCCCTGCACGGGCAGATCCCGCGAGGCAGAGTGCGGGCCCCAGGCAGGGAGGGTGGGTGGACCGCTAGAGGCGATGACCACTGTGATGCATGCGGGAACTCTCTGGGGAGCAGGGGAAGGTTCTGAAATTGGGTAGAGGTGACAGTTGCATGACACTGAGCAAATTGAAGACCAGTGAAACGCACGCTTCTAAAGGGTGGACCTATGTCCCGTGAGCTGCATCTCAGAAAAGCCGGGGTGCTTCCCCCATCCGTCTTCGGGGGCCTACGGGGCCTGCAGAAGGGCGGAAACTGTGCTGGGTCCTGAGTGTGGCCCCCTTCTGGGAGGATGTGCAGAGGGCGGTGGCCCCCGAGGCCGTGTGGACCCTGGCTCTTCTGCCAGTCAGGCCAGTGTGCCCCCTCTTTTCTGAGGGCCTCCGTCCTCCCCCCTGGTTTCTGAGGCCTGGATTGCGGGGCACAGGCCTGCGCCCTAGAGGATCTGCGGCCTGTCCAGAGGAACGTCCGGGCAGGGGAGGCCAGTCCCACGCTGCAGGCCAGCAGAGAGCCAGCTGGGTGGAGAGCAAGGCCCCCCCAGAGCGGTTCCAGCCCAGGGAGGGGCATGGGGAGCAGAGTGGGGACCTGGGCCCTCCTCCTCCCGCCCCCACCCCCTCCCCCAGAGCCCTGGCTGTCCGTGCGTCCTCCCAGAGGGCTGCCCGGGCTGGGGCGGGCGGGAGGGGCGTTCACACCTGGCTTGCAGCTGCAGGGCCTCAGGCTTCCTGCTGAAGAAGGGCCGCCTGGCGGGGTGCGGCGGGAACCTCGTCCCTGAGCACTTAGCTCACGGTTCACACGTCCTCCGCAGGCCGCCATGTCGTGGGCAGCTGGCAGTGCGGTGCTGAGCCGGCAAGCCGCTGGGCCGCTGATGGCTCTGCTTCTGTGTGTCGCCCTGGACTGTGATCCCCGCGTTTGCACAGGCTGAGCCTCACACCTGGCTTGCAGCTGCAGGGCCTCAGGCTTCCTGCTGAAGAAGGGCCGCCTGGCGGGGTGCGGCGGGAGCCTCGTCCCTGAGCACTTAGCTCACGGTTCACACGTCCTCCGCAGGCCGCCATGTCGTGGGCAGCTGGCAGTGCGGTGCTGAGCCGGCAAGCCGCCCGGGACCTCCTCCTCTGATTGGCGTCCTCACTTGTGCCCAGGGCTGCTCAGTCTAAGGCCAGACCTCCTCATGGCAGCCTCAGTCCCTCACTCGGCGCAGGGCACCCCACCGTTCAGCCCCTCAGCACCCCAGCCATGTCCCATCCCGGCCACTGGAGGACTGCCCCCAGCTCCTTGCACAGGATGGTGTGTGTGTGTGTGTGTGCGTGTGTAGGCTCAGTCATGTCCAAGCCTGTGACCCATGGACCGTGGCCCCCTAGGCTCCTCTGTCCATAGAACTCTCCAGGCAAGAACACTAGAGCGGGTTGCCATTTCCTCCTCCAAGGATGGCATTTATGACTTACTCAAACACTGTTTTATGCACTGACTTTCTACGTGGCTTTGCTCACATATTCCAGAGTCCTGCTCTGGGCTCCATTATGGGCACCAGACTGCTTAGTCTCTGGGTCACCAGCACACGGATGGGGTTTCTGCAGTTGCAGGTATGTTCTGAGTCATGTGAACATTGCCCCCAAGATGGCCTGATGTTCATCAAGCCCTTGCCAGGTGTCGCCTGCTGCCATGGGTCCCCATGCCTCGCGTAGGTCTGCCCACCACACCCCTTTGACAGCCGCAGGGCCCGGTGCTCTGGGCTCAGTGGCACCCAAGGCCAATCATCTGGATCTGTACCACTGCAGCCCCTCGCCTCCCTCCCTCCACATCTGCCCTCCATGGAGACCGTAGGCTCCATGGCGGGAAAGGCTGGGATCTGTCAGGAGCATGTGCACCTTCTGCGCTGGCTTCCCAGACCTCCAGGAGCCAGGAGTCTTCCCATCCGGTCAGGTCTCTGCTCCGCGCTCGGCAGGTGTGGTCTCCTCCTGCAGTTCTGACCTGTGGGGAGGCTGCCGCTCATCACGTTTGGCGCCTCTCCGTGGCATCGTGTCCTCCTCACCGTGCACATGGCAAGGCTGTGCCCGGGGCCCTGGCAGCCAGGCAAGGGCTGACCGAGCGGTGACCACAAGACCCCAGTGGGCTGGTGTGGCCACCTCCAACATGCAGCCTCAGAAGAGGTGGCAGCCACTTCCTCCCACTCTCCCCTCCTGTAGGCTGGACCCTGCAGCGCAGGACACAGCCCCAGAGGCCAGAGGGGAGGTGTGGTGGAGGGGGAGTGGTTCCTGGGCCTGGGGGAGCAGAGAGGCCATCAGATGCAAGAGCTGTGAATGCCTTTGCCTGTTCCATCACCTTCATGCTTGGGGCTGATAAACCGCATGGTCACTGCTGCAAATGGAATCTGTGCTGCCTTTGCTTCTAGGTGCGCATTGTTCAAGAAATTACTGGCTTTTCTGTATTTATATGGTATCATTTTATTATTCATTTTTAATTTTTTAAACTAGGGGATATGTGGAAATCTCTAGATTTAGAATCATAGCAACATTAAAATTCTATCTATTTTTCCTAAGGTTAGCGTCATTTAATGTTCCTCTCTTATTGCATTGCTACAACCTTCAAGAA